AAAACACCTATAAATGAAAGGCAAGTTAGGGCGAAACAAAGAAAATGAAAGGAAGACGAATTATATAAAAAAATAAATAAATGGTAATAAAAAGATTAAGGTTATGGGGTAAATTACAAACATTTTATTTATCAAAAGTTTTAGAATTGGGGCGTTTTCAATCTGGAGGTTGTCGAACTTGGTCTATTTAATTAGGTACTAAACACTTGTAAATACCCATTTGCTTTCCACTTTAATCATGGGATAACTTGATGAACCCCGCACCTGGACTCGATTTTTTGCAATAGCCCAATTTTGTCAGACAATAATTTCTGTTGAAAGTTTTTGTAATCTCAAGTTAATCATAAATTTCAATAAATATCAATATATTTCAATAAATTACCTTTACCCTTTGTCGTAAACCTATTACTTCCTGTCCTACAGTATCCTATAACAATAGCCCACTTATTCCTGTTGAAGAAATACATTACCTCGGACTCCACCTGGACAAACCACTACTCCTCATACCAGAATGTAACGACTAGAAACCGCACGGCATTTCATACTACTACAGCTCTTATTAAAACTCTCTAAACTTCCAATTATTTACAAAAGACTAATATACATGACTAACGCTCCTTACTTTGTCAAAAATATAATCATCCATAACGACCTTAATGCACCATATGTTTCCGATTTATCTCATTCAAGATACATGTCCTTCTATTATAAACTTCTGAACCATCTGAACCCTCTTGTTTCTAACCTTGCTTCCTCTTCTATTCCTGATAATCCTCCGAGGCGTCTGAAAAGAAGATGGACTCGAGACATTCTAATATAGAATTATAATTGGAGTGCTACCAATGGGTAGTTTTCTACATGTCATGTCACTGTTTTCAGATTTACTTGTTATATTTGTCAGGTAATACAGTTGTAAATTTCAATAAATACATTAAAAAAAAAAAAACTTTATCAGGTTGTCGGGCAATCCGTGTTTTGCACATGTGAAAGCCCGCTGCGATAGACCTCTTATAGTATAATTGGTCCTCTATAAAATAATTATAAATATAAACAATTTTAAAATATAAAATTTGGAAATTTATAAGAGACTATATATATATATATATATATATATATATATATATATATATATATATATATCGATATTTTTCGAATATATTGACTTAATCGTTCGGACCCTTATTGTGCTGTAGTGTATAGAAAAACATGTTTAATACAAGTAGTCTTGGAGAAAATCGACGAGAGGGGGGAATTCGATTATGGTTGAATTTAGGACTTTACTATACATTAAAGTTTGAGTGAAAGAGTTAGTATTAAATTTCAATAAACCTTATTATAAATAATTAAATTATTTAAAGCCAAGGAAATTATTCATAACATAAATCAGAAACGGTCAGAAATGAAAACAATTCGCCAGGGAATAACTTAAAAAATTAGCAAATAATAGAATCCAGCTTTGTTTAACAGGAGAGAGATGACGAAACACTTTTTATTTCTTTTCAGCAGAACATTGACCCCAGACAGTATTTGTTTAGCAAGCGCCTTTTTATTCTATTCTTCAATGGATTCCAACTAAGGAATAATTATTATTATTGCAACCTTTAATAAATTTGCTTTATTTCTTTCTTTTTGTTTTTAATGGTTTTATTAAGTATTAATACAGTCTGCCACACTGAAGGGCATTGGTAATAGGGCTATAGTATTCATTCATACAATATGTTCATAAGAAAGGGATATAAATATAAATAACCAAAGTAGAAAAGAAAAAGAAAATATATATATATATATATATATATATATATATATATAAATAAAAATCAGCGCCGGATCAACTAAATAACACAACTTTTATACGAAAAATAAAAAAAAAGGATAAAAAAATGAATAAAGGGATTGATAGAATAAAATAGATAAATAATAATAACAATAGACACTTATAGATAATAAGATAGAATAGATAAATAAATAGACTTTAAAAAAATAGCAATAAAATCAATATATGAATTGAAATTAATAGACAAATGAACTTTTAAAATAAAAAAAATAAGTTGAAATAAAGTAAATAAATTAAAAAAAAAATAATAATAAACCTGCAAAGGATCATTAATAAACTTGACATATATGTTGTTTAAGTTTTTCATTATCTAGAAACTTGATAACTTTGATAACGATTTCTTCTTGATTTCTAAAGGACAATAATTTTGCTATGTCAGTAAAGAAATAGGTTATTAATTACTATTTTCAAAATAATTATAGTAATTTATAGTCTAAAGAAAAGATTAATTAATATACAAAATCGATGCAAAAAAAAAAAAAAGTAGGTCACATAAATAAACAATATAAAAACATGTCTGGACGCGGAAGACTCAGAAAATCATCGTGACCTTTAGTGCACAAGGAAAGGAGGATCTTATATTTGATTCTACAATTACAAATTAGACAAACGATGAGCAGCAAGATCTCAAAATTTAAATTGAGAAGAAGGAAATATATTAAAAATACCTTTCGTACCTAAAAGAGAAATATAGAGAGGAATTTAGGGACAGAAATTTTTCGGTTTGAGGACTTTGGTTTTAGAAGTAAAGGGGCAATCCTTCTTTCACATGCTAGTTTTTTGTTTTTTTTTCGAAAAGCTAGATATTGAAAGGAATGAGGTATGGGTATAGAAGAATCCATTATTTTGGACTGGCAGAAAGATGGGTTTAAGTAATATAATGCAATAGACTTTACTTTGAGGTGTATTATTTAATAATGTTTAAAATATGTAATATGATGAATGATAAAACTACAATGCACAACCTTTGAAAACACCTACTTGTCTCAAGGCCTTTTGATTCCTAAAAACCAAATTTGTGTGTTTACTTGCTTCATACAATGAGTCATAAGTATTGTATGAGTCAAGAGTCATACAATGCTTAAGATAACTTTTCGTTTGGGATGTTACAACAATCTTTTCTTCTTTTTTTTTTTTTGCATCAATGTTTCGAATTTTAAAAAAAAATTCCAAAACGAATCTAACTATTTTAATTAAACTCGTCTTATCGATAACAATTGAATGGTTTTTTATATAATTTATTGAACTCATACAAATGCTCTGAAAGGTCTTAATTACCGAATTTCAGAAGTTTATTCTTGTATATAAGTTATGTGCCTTTAAATTTTATTTGTTCGAAGTAATTTAATCTATGCTTATTTTATGTAACTTTATGTATTTAAATTATTTTAATGTCTCTATATATTTAATTTCGAATCTGTAATTATCAAAAATTATTAAATGGTCCAATATTTTTGTAGGCCACCTATTTTTATTTATTTTTTTTTTTGTGATCATATTGTCTTACTATTCAAGTGGCAAGAAAATGAGTAATCATGAGTTTTTAGTACATAATTAAATGGACAAAGTTTGCCGACATCTAAATTGAAAAAAACCCAATTCCAAGTATTTTGCTAATAAATTATTTGTAGGTTACGACGAGATGAAGTTAAACTTTAGTTAAATATATTTTTGAAGATCAATTTTTTTTAAAATTTTGTGATCAAATTATCTTACGATTCAAGTGAAAAGCAAATAAGTATATATAAATTAAATTAATTTAATGAGAAAACGACTATTTCTGAGAATTTTCGTACATAAAAAATGTTAATGTTACTGTATGATGCAAGTTATTCACGAAATTTTCGAGGGATGTTCATAATTTGATAAAACTTGGTTTGTACCAGGGACTGCATGATAGTCTCTCTACAAATATCAACTAATTCAAACTTCGAGAACTTGAAACAATCCTATTTGGTCGCCCGTATTATACGGTTCTGACCTCTGTACGAAACATTTATATATGTCAATGACTTAATAGTAGAGCGTTTTCAATCTGGAGGTCGGAAAATTTCGGCTATTAAATTAGGTACTAAAAACTCTCAAATACTCATTTTCTGTCCACTTACATCATTTTCTGCCAATAGTACGATAATATGAGTAAACAATCAAGTATAAATGTGCTATACAAAAATATGGGGCCTATTGTCTTATTCCAAACACAAGCCTGTTATTTTGACATTTCAGAAGGGAACGCCAAACGTCCTAATATTTTTGTAGGCCATCTATTTTTTTTTTCCTATTTATCATATTGTCTTAGTGTTCAGGTGGAAAGAAAATGAGTTCAGGAGTTTTTAGTATCTAATTAAATAGGCAAAGTTTGCCGATCTCCAGATTGAAAACGCCCCAATCCCGAGAATTTTCGCAAATAAATTATTTGTAGATTGCGAAGTGATGAAGTTATTTACGAAGTTTGAGGCTGATATTAATAATTTGATAAAACGAGATCTGTAACTCGAACTACATGATAATTGCCTTACAAATATGAACTAATTTAAATTTCGAGAACTTTAAAAATGCGTTATGCGATTCTGACCTCTGTACAACAAATTTATATATGTCAATGACATGATAGTCTGTATTACAGACCACATAAGATATGATCATAAAATTTTTAAAAAAGTGGTGGTACACAAAAATAATGTTACGTTTGTCCTATACAAGTTCGTTATTTTGACATTTTAGGGGTGGAAGTCACGCCAAACGGCCCAATATTTTTGTAGGGCACCTATTTTTAAAAATTTTTTATGATCATATTGTCTTACTATTGAAGTGGAAGTAAATAGTTATTCATGAGTTTTTAGCACCAGATTATGTAGACAAAGTTTGCCGATTTCCACATTGAAAATGCCCCGATTCCGAAAATTGTCGTAAATAAAATATTTGTAGGTTACGATGAGATGAAGTTATTTACGAGGTTTTAGACGAATGTTAATAATTTGATAGACAGGCGCCTGTACCTCGAACTACATAATAATCCCCTTACAAATATCAACTAAGTTAAACTTCGACAACTTGAAAAAATCCTATTTTTGATGATCGTGTGACCTCTGTACGACACATATTAATGTATGCCAATAACATAATTACTAAAAAAAAATATCTTAAATACCCGTTTTGTATGTACCTTTCCTCCATAGTATAGAAATCGCACTATCACTTCTGAAAGAAAATCACTGTGGATGTACCTGATGGTTGAGGGTTTGACCTGGTGTGGCTCAAGCCAAGTACTGGTTCTCCTGGGAATCCCTCACAGCTGGAATCTTAATTTTTCTCTAGTCTTCTTCCCCCTCCAGATCCCTTGCTGGAGGTCACTTCCTCAACTTTTTGTCCAAAGGATGGACTATCCGTGGAATGACTGGGTATGCTAATTTTGCGCCTGAGGTATAATAAGCCTGGCATTGGTTAGATGGCTATCTCTCTACTCAGCTATTGTTTCTTGTTTTATTAATGCGTCCTTGTAAGTGATCTTAAAATAATTGTGGATTCCCAAGAAATAGTAGCTGATTTGTTTTATTTTTTGTAATGCTATACAGAAAGGTTAAATATTGTAATAACCAATTCGTCATCATTATCTGTGACAGAACATTGTAATGATGTTTAATGTTAGTTGCCATTGATTGTCTCAAAAAACTCTTTCAATTATACACCAATAACAGATCCTTTTGAATCACGATAAATTGTTCATTTATTTATTAGTCCATTTACCCCGGTATTCAGCAAATATGATATCAAGGAGAAGAAATGATAGCATAAAAAAAAAAGAATATTAATAACAAAACAAAAAGACAATAAAAAAAATCTGACGCGTGCAACACACAACTTTCACTTACCGATCTACTTTGAATAAAAATTATTTTTTTGCAATGCTGGGCTATTATAAAATTGTTTGAAGTGCATTTTAAATGGAGCTAAAGCTTAAAGCTTACAGATAACAAGTCATTAAGACCATTATAATTACAAAATGTCTATTTAATATACCGACGACAGGCAATAAAAATCTAGTCACTCCATCTGCTTTAATAAACCACACAACTTTCTTTAATTTTATAAACCACAGAATGACTTACTCCAATTTCAACATTTTTGAGTAATGTCATTTTAGTGATATTTTAGTTGAAAAAGTTATCTATGCAGACTATGAATAAGTTAATTCCAAAGGTGGTGATTGCAGTGTTGAAATATAGAACTGAGAATAAAGGTATAAATTAGGTACTTATTTCTTATGAAAGATGTTCTTAGGAAAGACACTTTATTCAATATCTGTAGAAAAAAGTTTTTTTTTAGTCTCAACAATTATAAAAGTATATTTTAAATTTATCCAAATTTTCGCCTCTTCAGAGAAAAAAAGTAGAGACCATATCTTTCCTGCTAATTTTCCAATTGTAACGATTTTTTTTTGTTTTTTTGGGAAATTCCATAAACTTTTAAAAACCATAACAATATCCCCAAAAAACGTATATTTTTTAAGTTATTCGCAATTTAATTTTAACATCCCTCGTAACTTTTTTTCCAGCTTTTTTTCGTTAAAGGGTGTCGAGAAAATAACTTTGACAAAGTTTCATTGAAATCGGTACATTCGTTTAGGCGCTACAGTCTATAGCAACGCTAAGTTTTTCTGCAGTTTTATTTTTTTTCTCCTTTATTAACTTATCAAATTCTTTCAAAAGTTATATGTAGCATATATTCGTAACTCTGAATAATGCGAAATAGTTAACTTTTTAAAATAAACCATATTAAAGGTACTTAAAGGTAAAGAGGAAGACATATATGAACATTGGGCATTTAAGCCCTGTAAGGTAACATCAACGGGTGTAAGACCTAAATGGTATTAAAGGCCACTTAATTATACAATGATACACCGAGTTTAATCAAAATCGTGACTGGATGATTTTTATATTTGATTTCTTTGCTGTTTCCCATAGTTGAATCCCATATATCCAAAGTGGTTTAATGAGGACTTCGTAAATAGTTAATTTATTAGTCACAGATAATTTAGAACGTCTGTCAAGTAGCCTAGAAGGATGTCCGTATCGCTGAATAAGTTCTTTTCTTTATTGTTTTGTGTGGTATGTCCATGTCAGTCGTTTGTCCAAGTGGAGACCCAAATATCGTATAGTTTTTGAAGGCGGCAGAGCAATAAAGCACGATAAATAATGTCCATTTCTTATCTGTAGGTCTCCTTCAAGGTTTCTGTCTTTCCCCTCTAATACTCTATTTAATGTATCCAATTTAAACTGTCCCTTCAGTATAACATTCACTATATGCAGATTATGCAGCTATCTACACTTCTTTCAGAACTGACACAATGACTAATACAGTACAATACCATCTTATAAAACCCTCCAAGTAATTTAAAAATGGAAGATAAAAATAGCGATAGAAGTGAAAACATCAACAAGACGAGATTAATATTTTTTTCCCCGAAATTTTTTTAAAGGAAATTTCATAAACTTTTAAATAAAACAAAAATATTTAAATATCGCGATGTCTAGATAAATTTAAAGTTCATAGAGAAAAAGACTAGCCAAGTTTCATTGAAATCGGTACATGCGTTTAGGCGCTAAGCCTATAGCAGCGCAGATTTTTTGGCAGCCATTTTAAAAAGAAAAGACAGATAATAATGTCGATGAAGGAGGACCATTCTTGGATAACGTCTGACTTTAAATCCAAATTTGAAAAAAAAAAATCGGTCCAGTAATTTGTTAGAAAATGCGCGGACGGCGGACGTACAAAAAACATTTATTTGTTTTTAGAATTCTACGTATTCTGAAACGTAAAACATTAAATTTTTGTTCGATTACAATGGTTCATTATTGAAAATAAAAAAATAAATTACAGTTATTAATGACAGTTACAGCTATTAGATATCTTTTTTTACGGTTATATTGTTTTTAGAATTTGTAAATATTCCTGAGAATATCTGAAGCTCAATTTTGGTCTTTTTATTTCTCTTTCTGACAATATATAATATCTTGTTTTTTCTGCATTTAACGTTTAAATAGTATGCTTAGATGGAAAAAGACGTTGGCAACTGTTTATTCTCCGAATTCGTGACTACTCATACGATCGCTAAACTTATAGTAAGATAGCTAAATCCAATTGGTGGTTGATCCGACAGTAAGTACACATTGGAAAACGTTTTGTAAACGTCCGTCGCCCACATTTCAAACTTCCAACAAGAAAAACAGTTGGACGATCCCTGAGATAGAATAAGTGCATTTAACCAGAAATAAACATATAGGGAGATATTCGAGGTAGTTACAGAATTTATATAATAATTTTAGGAAAAAACTGTAATAATTAATATTAAGGAAAATCTAATTCCATAGAAAATTAATATTTTTTAAAATATTATTAATTGCAAAAGTTCAAGATAACAAAAAATTATAATTTATTAACATTTAAAAATTATTAAAGTTGGCTGAGTACGATAATAATAAAATATGTTAAACAATTGAAAAGTTTCTGGAAAATTTTAAGATTAGTAAAGTTTTGAAATATAGATAATAATAAGAAACTAATAAAAATATATCATTTAAAAAAGGCATTGGAAAATATATAAATTTGATAATATGAAAAAACCTGAAATTATTATTTTTTTTTTTAAATGCGACAAATAAAATACGTGACTAAAATAAAACCGAAATTGGACAATGGAAAATATATTGTTAACAAACCAACGATTTTTGCTTTTTGAGTTTAATTATTTTTTTCAACATTCTTCATGCAAGTACTTAGAATGGTTGAATGTTTTTAAAAAATTAGTTTACGATAACGTAATTATTAAAATTCTTCTTTTTTGCTGAGAAGCTGTGTTTTATTTGTTTTTAAACAAACACACTCGTATGTTAAATTTGTTTTTTGAAAAAATTGGGTAATGAATTGTTGTATTGGTTTCTTTATTGTAATGTTTTCTTTTGGTGTTTTGTATGTTACTTGTTTTTTTGTTTTTATCATCATTTTGGTTTAATGTTGTATTTTGTAAGCTGCTGTACAATAATTTGTTGATTAGGTTCGCAGGATAAAAATTCTCAATTAGTATTTTATAAATTTCTGTTTTTATTTGTTGAATAAAAGGTTTTTTGCAATTAGTTCTGCTGCTTTGTGTATAAGGTTTTTGGCTGTGTTAATTATTTGATATCTGGAATGGTTTTGAATGAATTATTAGTATATGCATGATCATGTTCATGGATATTTGAATTTTTTTTTTTCAAAATATAATGAATAGTTATTCTCATAGATTAAAATTCAGTTAAGATTATTTTTATTTTTATTTTTTGGATTATAATCTTAGACTCACTCATTTATTCATTTTCATTTCTGACTTGAAATTCATGGACGTTAGGAATGAATTCGTGTTCGGATAAGCGGTTAACGTCTTCCTCTGGAAATGAATTTCACGAAGCTAATTTCCTGCGGGAAATCAAACATGACAAGTCGATATAAATACATGAATATAGATGGCCTCCAAATACACATTCCATTGATTAATGTAAATTTGAATTTATTATATGCATTTTATATGTATCGGGTGCACATATTAAAAGTGGCACATGACAAATTGACTAAAAAGTAAAAGTTTAATAAAATAATCTTCATATGTCGGGTAAATTTATTTGCCCCACATTTTATCTAGTGATAATACTCTACGATATGTTATTATATATTAATTATTATAGATATCAAGATAATAAAAATTGTCAGGATGTGCAGCCAAAAATGTCTTTATTCAGTTAGCCGTCGTTTCGACCCAAACATGTAGGTCATCATGTAACATGTAGGGCTATAAAATTAAAACAAAAATCAGAAAAATAATAAATATAAAAGTGTAAGAAAAGAAAAAGGTGAAACGTACAAATAATTAACGTTGATATAGGGAAAACAATAATTTCTTAGTATATTATAGCGAATTATAATTAATTATTATATTATTCTTATCAATTTCTATCAGTCCTTACAACCTATATCTGATTTGTATGTTTCACCTTTTTATTTTAATCTGTGGTACAGACCACTTTTTATCGAATTATTAACATCCGCCTGAAATTTCATAAATAGCTTCATCTCATCGTAACCAACAACTATTTTATTTACGAAAACTCTTGGAATTGTGGCATTTTCAATCTGGAGGGAAAAAACTTTGTCTATTTAATTAGGTACTAAAAACTCGTAAATACTGATTTGCTTTCGACTTGGATCGTAAGATAATTTGATCACAAAATTGAGAAAAAAAGTGGTC